TGGCTGGGAGGATCTCTGTGGGGTGGGGGGCGTCCCGGGGCCAGGTACCTCGATGGCGCTGTCACACCAGTTCATCTGATCGTCCACCAGTTTGATGCTGTGCTTCATCTTCTCCGGGGCCAGCAGCTTTGCCTGGCCCACCACGGCTGGGGGAGGGACAAAGAGACGGGGCTCAGAGAGTCTGACAGCCCGGGCCAGGGGCTTCGCTACGTGATGTCCCACCCAGTGCTGCTCTAACCCACTGGCGAGAGAACCCAGGTGTCCTGGCTCCCAGCTCTTCCCCCCCCAGCCTCCAAATCCATCCCCCTCCCCACCTCCAAACCCACTAGCTGCTTGGAGGCTGGCCGCCATCTGGTGGCAGACACTGGTAACTACATGCATATTAAAGGGGACCGGGTTCTCTTCCCACATCCCATCCCCCTGGGGCTACAACCCCCTACCCCTTCCTCCTACCTCCCCCCTTCCTCCTAGCCCCGCCCCCGCAGCGGGTACTCACGGTCCATGGTGCTGCTGGAGGCAGCGGATCCCATGCCCCGGTTCTGGATCTGGTAGACGGGTTGCGTGGGGCGCTGTCCCTCCTTCTCCCCCTTGGCGGCAGCTGTGGGGAGCTGGGCAGCCCCCTCCGCGGGGCCTTTGCCTTCCTCCCGCGACTTCATCAGCACGATGGGCTTCTCCATGGGGGACGGGGCAGTGGCGGGTGGGGCCGGAGCTGGGGCAGGGGCCAGCTTGGACTGTGGGGAGAATGAGGCTGGTAGAGACCCCACGTCCCATCCTCAAGCTGAGGACAGAACCCAGGAGTCCTGACTCCCGCCCCGCCCTGCTCTAACCACTAGACCTCACTCCCCTCCTCAAGCTGATACAGAACCCAGGAGTCCTGACCAAGGTATGCCCAGCTCATTTACTCTTATTGGACTCACGTATCCTGCAAATGGTTAAGAAGCGGTTGTGAGACACCCTTGCTTGGCGCCTGCTCTATATAGTAGCTAATAGCCTACTGCTGCTGCATGCTGACAGAGTAACTCCTTTAGCTTCCTGTGGAGGATACCAGCTCTACTACAGCTGCCTGCTGATAAAGCCCCTCCTTTAGCTGAAGCAGCAGAGTCCTGTGGGCTGGCACTGCGGGTGGTGGGTTCAAGACCCACTATTGGTGGGGGTCTCACACACAGGGGTGGGTGTGACAGGCCCTGGGGGGCAGTGCCCTTCCCATGTGGGTCTTACCCTCTCAGCAGGCGGCTTGGCCAGGATGATGGGCGTCTTCTGCATCACGGACCCGACCGGCTCCTCCACGGGCTCCTGGGGGAGAGATCAGAGAGGGGTGAGGGGGGTCCCCGCAAGGCCCCTCCTGCACCCCACGGCCCCTCCCCTGCCCTGTCACTCACCCGGCGCTCGCGGTCCCAGGGGCCGTAGTCACGGTCCCGGCCTGGCCCCGACAGGCTCTGGGGGCCGCCCGGGGGACCCAGCTCCTTGTCACGGTTCCAGCGGCGCCGGCGGTCGGGGCCGTACAGGCCGGGCTGGCTGTGCCCGGAGTCCGACATGGCTGCCACCTGCGGGGGGGTGAGAGTCACGTCAACCCCAGCGGTGCGGCGGAGGGACACGGCGCAGGGGGGAGAGATGCCACATAGAAGATGAGGCTCAACACGTGGGGACTATTTCCCCAGCAGGGGGAGGAATACCGTATGGGAGAATGTGACAACACCTGGGGATTATTTCTCCAGTGAGGTGGAGGGATACCATACCAAAGAGGCCGTTAGGGACTATTTCTCTGAACAGGTGAAGAAGGAATATATTGCAGAGGCTGCTAGGGACTATTTCCCTGGTATGGCAGATGGATACATATACGCGTGAGGCACACGCTCGGGAACTATTTCCCCACACTGCGGAGGGATATCACAGAAGAGACATGATCACTGGGGTCTATTTACTCGACATGGTGGAAGGGCACCAGGGTTATTTAACCAGCAAGACACAGAGACACCGTGGGGAAGACAGGGCCTATTTTCTCTGCACTATTTACCCTGCCTGGCAGAAGGACACGAGCACAGAAGAGCGGAGGGATACTGGAGAAGTGGTGAAGCCACCAGGGACTATTTACCCAGCCCAGGGGAGGAGCAAACCACCACAGGGAACTACTTAACCTGCGTAGCAGCGGGCTGTGGGACTACTTTGCCAGCATGGTGGAGGGATACCATAGAGAAAAGCGCACAAGAGGCCTGGGGGACGGGGGGGCTGAGAGCCCCTGAACCAAACTACAAACCGTGGATACGATGGAAACCACGTCAAGCCGCACCTAGTCCCAGCGCCTATGGGGGACTATTTAGCCCATGTGGTGGAGGAATATGTAACCTGCTTCTTAAGGCGCTGGGGTGTTAGACCCGTGGGCGCATCAGCCCTGCGGATGGATACGGGGCAGGAGGCTGCTGGGATACGTCCTGCTCAGCTGAGGGATTCTGGGCACCAGGGTTATGACCCCAACCGCCGGGGGCGGGGCGCCACTGGGATTATATACCCTGCGGAGGGATACAGAGAAGTGATAAAGTGTTATGGGGTTACATGGCCTGCAGAGGAATATGGGGGCAGGCGGTAAACCCCCCCGGGTATACTGCGCACAGTCAGAGACTATATGGCCCATGGAGGAATACAGTAGGGATGTGAGGTGTCATGCTGGGAGCTATATGGACCACGGAGGGATACGGGGCTGTGTGACACATCACCCCCAGAGGCTATACGGCCCGCGGAGGGATACGGGGCAGAGTGACACATCACCCCCAGAGGCTATACGGCCCGCGGAGGGATACGGGGCAGAGTGACACATCACCCCCAGAGGCTACATGGCCCGCGGAGGGATACGGGGCAGAGTGACACATCACCCCCAGAGGCTATACGGCCCGCGGAGGGATACGGGGCGCTATATACACTGGAAGATGGTGGAGCAGTGCGCACCCGCGGAGGGATACCGCCCTAGGTTAGGAAGCTGTAGGATCTACATGCCCTGCGCGGGTCACCGGGCTGCGGAAAGAGCCCGCAGAACGACATACCCGGCGGAGGATTAATCCCTAGGTAAAAGGAGGACCGAACTAGCTCCCCGCGTAGGGATACCGGACTGGGTATCTCGTCCCAACCGCCCGCCCCTCGGAGGGATACCGGGAGTGTGACGCGTCACCCGGCGCTATTTACCCCGCCCCGCGGAGCGATACCTGAGCGCTGGTGCTGAGAGCAGAAGCCGGGGCTGTCGCCCCGGTAACGGCGGAGGGATACCGGGCGGCTCACTGGGGCTGAGGTACCGTGCAGCGGCCGGGACGGGCTGCTGGGGAAGCCCGGCGGCGCGAACAGCGCATCTGGGCGCCGGCTTGGAACGAACCTGCTCGGCCACCGTTGTTTCCGAACGCGCCTGCGCGCGAGGGGGGCGTGTCCAAAATGGCGGCTTCGCGCCCGCGCGGGCCGCTGGCGGCACATGCGCACTGCTCTGGCATGGACAGAATAGACCCCTCTTAAGGGGCGTGGCCTCCTGTCAGAACGAGGCTAGAAAGGTAGAGGGGAAATACATGAGCGCGCATGCGCACGGAGCTGGGGTCTCTGCATGGCTCTGGGGGCGGGGCGGGACCGAGGGGTTGGAGCAGGGGGCGGAGCCAGGACGCCTGGGTTCGATCCTGGGTCATGGTGCGGCTCGGGTCAGACCCGGCTCCCGGTGCCTCAGTTTCCCTCGCCGCTCAGCGCTGCGGGGGGGGGGGCTGGGGCTAATTAGCCCGAGACAAATCAACCCGGAACAGGGACCCCGCCCCCAGGACCCCCCCATCTATCCCTATACCCCCCCCCCGCCCCCATGGACCCCCCCATCTATCCCTATACACCCTCCACGCCCCCCCCGCCCCATGGACCCCCCCATCTATCCCTATACACCCTCCCCGCCCCATGGACCCCCCCACCCACTGATCTGTCCCTGCCCCGCCCCCCGTCCGTCTGCACCCACGTGTCTCTTCTCGGG